GACCAAAGTTAGAAGGAAAAATGTATGTAGAACCAGCAGATACATGTTCTAACCACTAGATGGTGCCCCTACCACGGTAAGCTAAAATGCTGAATCAGTAATGTGGAAACAAATGTGCTGATGAAGTGGGGCCATTCAATAAGGAGATGTAGGCAATGGAAAATAGAATACATTTTTTTTCCAGGTACATTTTTATGGCACTATATATGTAGGTTAGAAGAGGCTAAAATAGGAAATGTTTAACAGTATAAATGTTTGCAAATTTTAAAAATTCTATCAAAAAAAACCAAAAACTAGAACAAGAAAGGAGTAAAATAAGAAGCAAAAATGCACATTAAAGATTTATAATTTTAAGTGTAATAGTATTCCATAAGTAATATATCTGAGGAGAAATAAAAAGAAAGAATAAAAACAAAAAAAGACAAAAAATATATCTGAGGAGTATATAAGTACAAAATTTATAGAGATAGGAAACTTAGACTTTAAGATAAATTTATATTCAAAATTGAGAAATAAGCACAAAAATATAATGTCAACAAAGGAAAATCTCCCTCTCTCCTCTCTCTCTCTCTCTCTCTCTCTCTCTCTATATATATATATATATATATATATATATACTTACATAGATATATATTTCCTATGCTAAAAGTCCTCCAGCTTTTTTATATGAACTTCAGCCAAGCTAGTGCTAAGAATACAGTGTTAAGTAAGACACATTCTCTGCCCTGAAACACCTCAGTCAGAGTTGGAGTGATTGGGACCAGTTGGGAAATTAAATGCCAGGCAGTTCCATCTCCTACTTAATGCAGGAATCCTGACAACTTCTGCCTAAATAATAGTGGTGAAAAGAAACTTCATTTCTTCATACAGCCCATTGCTTCAGAGAGTTAATTTTAGGAAACTCCTCCTTATATTGAAACATTTCAGTGTAAGGGCATTTCTATCCAGTAGTTCTAGTTCTGCCTTCTGAGATAACAAAAAGAGTCAGCTTCTTCCACCTGATAATCAGCCATTCAGATCATGGACACATCTACACTGTAATTTTTCCTCAAGGGTAAGCATTACTACATTAGTAATATCTTTCATAATAATTTAGACTATATTAACCCTTTCTGCACATTTTATATTCAATCTATAAATCAGACACTTTGTATATTCAATCTATAAATCATAGACAACAATACTGCTTTATATAAAATACTAATTAGAGAATTTTCTTGGGTTGGCATCCATTCTATTCATAACTCTGAACAGTTATTCAACTAGCTATGAATCCAACCCATATATTTCTATCACAGATGTAACACAAAAGTCTACACTGTGTGTCACTGAAAGTTGGTCAAGGAATGGTATGAAATCATTGAAACTTTATGAGATGCTACCTCATTAATTTAGCAAGCAATTTTCTAAAGAAGACATACAGATGGCCAATAAGTACATGAAAAAGTAGATGCTCAACATCACTAATCATCAGGGAAATGCAAATCAAAACCAAAATGAGGTATCACCTCATACCTGGCTAGTATCAAAAAGACAAGAAATAATAAGTATCAGTGAAGAAAAGGGAAACCTTGTGGACTGTTGGTTGGAATGTAAATTGGTCTAGCCACTATGAACACAGTATGGAGGTCCCTCAAAACATTAAAAATAGCCCTGGCCTGTGAGGCTCAGTTAGAGCATCATACCATGCACCAAAAGATGGCGGGTTCAGTTCCCAGTCAGGGTACATACACAATGCACAGGTTGTGGGTTTGATCCCTGGTTGGGCTGCATGCGAGAGGCAACCAATTGATGTTTCTCTGGCACATCAATGTTTCTCTCTCTGTGTTTCTTTCTTTCTTTCTCTCTCTCTCTCTCTCTCTCTCTCTCTCTCTCTCTCTCTCCCTCTACTTTAATCAATTTTAAAAATTTAAATAAAACATCAAAAATAGAATTTCCATATGGCTCAAAATGAAAACACTAATTCAAAAAGATATATGTACCCCATGTTAATTGCAGCATTATTTACAGTAGCCAAGATATATAAACATCCATCAATGGATGAATAGATAAAGAAAATTCCACACAATGGAATATCATTCAGCCATACAAAAAGAATGAAGTCTTGCCATTTGTGATAACATTGATGAACCTGGAGGGCATTAGGGTTGGTGAAATAAGTCAGATTAAGAAAGGAAAATACTGTATGATCTCACTTATATGTGGAATTTAAAAAAAACAACAAAAAAAACACAACAACACACCAATCTCATAGATACAGAGAACAGATTGGTGGTTGCCAGAGCAGAGAGAAATGGGTGGAGGGAGTCAAAAAGTATAAACTTCCAGTTATAAAATAAGATCTGGGGATGTGATGTACAGCATAGTGACTACAGTCAGTGATACCATATTGCAGATGTGAAAGTTGCCAAGAGAGTGAATCTTAAAAGTTCTCATCACAAAGTATGGGAAAATTCTGTGACCATGTATGGCGGCAGATGTTAAGGAGATTTATTGTGGTGATCACTTAACAATATATAGAAATGTTGAATCATTATGTTGTACACCTGACTAATGTATATTAGTTAACCTCAATTTAAAAAAAATTATCAAACAATTTACCATCTGACATAACAGAGCACCATGTCAGGCACTTGCATGGAACAGAGTTTAGAGGTGATGATGGTCAGGTTCACCAGTGTTTAGAATATAAGCACAGGGTGACTGAAGGAGACAGGTGACAGCAGGAGCACAGAAGATGGAGCTCTACCCCAGCCCCTGTTCTGGGGCTTCCTGTGGAGTTGGCAATTGAGCTAGATTCTGAAGGGTCAGAAGGAGTTGGCACTGATAGCAGGGGTGGGGTGAGGAATGCTGGGTAGCAGAAGTCTGGACCTTCATCCTGAGGCTAGTTGTTTCCTGTTCTGTTTGAGAATTACTCTGCTAAAGAATCCAGAAGCAGAATGGTAGTTTAGTCCCTCAGTAGATCTTTTTGGATAGGTGTTCAAATGTCTTTCCTTTTGTGTTCTTGTACTAAAATAGCATTTTAAAAGAATCTAACCTTGCCCTAGCCAGTTTGGCTCAATGGATAGAGCGTTGGCCCTCGGACTTAAAGGGTCCTGGGTTTGATTTCGGTCAAAGGCACATACCTCAGTTGCAGGCTCAATTCCTGGCCCTGGTTGGGGCGCATGTAGGAGGCAACCAATCAATGTGTCTCTTGCATCAGTGTTTCTCTCTCTCTCTCTCTCTCTCTCTCTCTCTCTCTCTCTCTCTCTCTCTCTCCCCCCCCCCCTTCCTCTCTCTCTCTAAAAATGAATGGAAAAATATCCTCGAGTGAGGATTAACAAAAATTAAAATAAAATAAGCCCTAGCCGGTTTGGCTCAGTGGATAGAGTGTCGACCTGCAGACTGAAGGGTCCCGGGTTCGATTCCAGTCAAGGGCATATACCTTGGTTGCGGGCACATCCCCAGTGGGGGATTGTGCAGGAGGCAGCTGATCGATGTTTCTCTCTCATCGATGTTTCTAACTCTCTATCCCTCTCCATTCCTCTCTGTAAAAAATCAATAAAATATTTTTTAAAAATTAAAATAAACTAAAAGAATCTAACCTTTTTCATGATAAAACCACTAAGGATACAGGATTTCTATGTTATTTAGACAATTAAAATTAAAACCAAAGTACCCCCCAAAAAAATCTGCTTAAATTGTCCTCATCTCTGCTTCCTTTTGGAGGAAAAAATACAAAAACTAATAGATCAAAATTAAATGGGTAGGAATAACCCCAAGTAAAATTGTTAAGAATGCACTGTGGCCTCCTACCTCCATTGCAGCCTTGTCTTTCTTTTCCAACTATCCCCTAAGCCACAGCACACACATCCTCAATCTCATACACATTTGCTACCCAGCCCCATCCTGTCCAATATCCTCTCCATAGTTTCATATCTGTTCAACTCAATAAAACACTAGCTAACAAAATTGTTAATGCCCAAATAAGGATTCGGATGTAAATTATTACAGTGTATTTGAATTTATAAAGACCCTGCAAGACTGTCTTAAGGACTCCAATGAATTAGGCTATAATAACCAAATAATGCTCTCTCAAATCCTGTCACACTGGCAGCCATTCTTCTGACCCATTAATTATTAAGCGAACCCAGTATATATTTCCCACCTCATTTACCTTCCCAAAACATCCAGTACTACTTGAATCAGGCATCACAGTATAAGATGAAAGGTAAACTAAGAAAGTGACATGTAGGCAGCTGGGCAAAGGCAGACTGTGGAAAGACATTTTTTTATTCTTGGACTGATAGGGGCAGATGCAAACTATATAGCTGTAGATTTTTTAAAGAGTTAATTTTTACTAGAAATGATACTTGACATCATCAAAAAGTCAAAATTTATCAGATTTAAAGTATGTTGATAAGATTCAGTGGCCTTTGGTGAAGTAATTGATATCTTTAATGTTTTTATCTGGTTTTGTTTTCCTTTGGGACCAGGTTATTCAGAGGATATTCTACACAGTGAACAGATCTTGGAGTGGGAAAATTACTTCGACAGAGATAAGAAAAAGCAACTTTTTGCAAGTATGCCTCTCTGAAATTCATATATAAGGAACAATTTAATAATTTTACTTCATTTAACAAATATTTGAGTGCTTATTGTATGTGAAGCTCTGTCACTACTTTCAATCATTATGCGTTTATCAGACACCTGGGATATGTTGGGAGGAACAAAGATGAATAACAAGGGATTTTTACATCAACACATGCACTGCAGAGAAAAAGTGCACTGCCCTAGCTGGTTTGGCTCAGTGGGTAAGCGTCAGCCTGTGGACTGTAAGGGTCCTGGGTTCAATTCCAGTCAAGGACATATGCCTGGTTGTGGGCTCGATCCCCAGTAGGGGGCAGGCAGGAGGCAGCCAATCAGTGATTCTCTATTGTCATTGTTGTTTCTGTCTCTCTCTCCCTCTCCCTTCCTCTCTGAATCAATAAAAATATATTATAAAAAAAAAAAAAAGAAAGTGCACTGCCACACCTGACTTGAAAAATTCCACAGAAAAGTATAACTATGCAAAGAAGACCACAGAAGGACTGGCATGTGATCTTGACCTTGGAGATATCAGGAGTTTACCAAGATAGAAATTAGAAAAAAAGGGCAGATAAAGGAAGCAGCATAAGCAAGGCCCAGAAGCATGAAAGTGTCACCTTCAGGAACTACAGGACAGTCTTAAGTGGCCAAAGGCTCCACAGAGAGTGACCAGTGATGAGGCTTGAGGGGTGAGATGGAGCGGGGTTGGGAAGGGCCTTGCAAAAGAAATAGAAGAATTTCAACTTGATCGTTTCAACAATGACTCTTTATCCAGCTCCTGCTGGAGAAAAGTACTAAAAATTCCTTCTAACAAAGAGTACATTTTATTCAATTATTTATTTTATGAGAAAGTACTGACCACTAGTGGGAGCCTTTTACCGAGATAATCTTCATGCCGGATTATTCAAGCCTCTTATCCTGAAGAAGGTAAAATTGTTCACACTTGAAAATAAATGAAATATTTTATCTTAAGTGAATTATACTAAATGTAGTTTAGGCTAAGACACCCTTATTTAATCTATGTTTTTTCTGTCTTTATCTGAAACAAAGTAATGTAGAGTTGGCAAAATTAGCAGCCCATAATAGATACACAAACTTTTTGTATTCTAAAATGAACAGTAGTCATCACAGTATTATTAATATCTATTGCATACTTTGTGTATGCCTGGGCTCTCAGTAGGTAATATGGATTGGGTTTAGATGGCAATTCCCTAAAAGAGGCCTTACATCTCACATTCCTGAAGCATATTAGAGTTCGTAGTTTCTGAATCATTATAGTCCTTTTTTTTAAACTTGTGATAAAATGTGAAGCCCAAATATGATAGAATGACTTAGATAAGATCAAACAGCAAGTAAGTGACTGAATTAGAACTAGAACTCAAGTGTTGTGCTTCCTAGAGTATGACTTATTCTCCTCTATTTTTCCCTACCTCCCCCTTAGCCTTCCTCTTATACATGAATATATGCTCATAAAATATTCTAATAACATGAACATATCTAGAATAATAATCTGAAGTCACTGTTTATCTCATCACCCTGCCATTTCACCCCCTTTTCCCTAGAAGGAACCCATTTATCTGTGGTTTTATTCATATATAGAGACATACATATACGTATTATATGGTTTTGTATGGCTGGTTTTTTGAGTTTTTGGGTGTTTGGGTTTTTTTTAGTGTTTCGTTTTTTATTGAATTTATTAGGGTGACATTGATTAATAAAACCATACAGGTTTCAACCTGGCCAATATTACTTAGTGGTTAGAGCATTGGCCTAAGCACTGAAGGGTCCAGGTTTGATTCCCTGTCTAGGGCACATACCTGGGTTGCTGGTTCAATCCCAGCCACGGTCTGGGCAAGTTAAGAAGGCAACCAATCAATGTCTTTCTTCCCTTCCCTTCCCTTTCCTCTCCCCTTCCCTCTCTCCTCCCCCTCTCTCCCTCCCTCCTTTCCTCCCTCCCTCCCTTCCACTCTATCTAAATATCAGTGAAAAAAATATCCTCAGGTGAAGATTAAAAAAAAAAGAAAAGAAAAACCCTATATGTGGATGCCCACTCTTCATAATAGAATAGATGTCACTGCATAACTGAAAAGTTAAAAGCATGTCAATATGTGGCCATGTAACTAAACCTGTTGTTTAATTGTTCTGTGGGGGCCTCGGATAGGCTGCAGTCCCCTTGCTTTTAAGTCCTCCATAGCATCTAACCCTTTGCTGAGCATATTACAGAGCTCATTAATGCTTATAGATTGATCAGGTGATTAAAGGGAGAGTGAGGTTACCTATTAAAGTTCCTGATTTGATACCAAAACCAAGTTTTTAAATTCAATTTAAAAGAAAAACTTACTAGATTCTATATAATGCCCAAAGCTGGGTTTTCATAATTTTAAAATAAGCCAAACCAGTTTGGCTCAGTGGATAGAGTGTCGGCCTACGGACTGAAAGGTCCCAGGTTCAATTCCGGTCAAGGGCATGTACCTTGGTTGCGGGCACATCCCCAGTAGGAGGTGTGCAGGAGGCGGCTGATCAATGTTTCTCTCTCATCGATGTTTCTAGCTCTCTATCTCTCTCCCTTTCTCTCTGTAAAAAATCAATAAAATATATTTTAAAAATAAATAAATAAAAATAAATAAATTTTCTTTATTCATACCATTTCAGACTCTAGCGCTTTTGGAAGAAGAGGAAGATATAAACCAAATCACAGACTACTTTTCCTATGAACATTTTTATGTTATTTATTGTAAATTCTGGGAACTAGATAGTGATCATGACCTCTACATCAGCCAGGCCGATCTGTCTCGATACAATGACCAGGGTGAGTTTCTATAGATGTTGATACTTAACTGTTTTGAAGAAGGCAACAGTTACATAAATTGTCCCCCCTCATTATGGAGAATTTCTATTTTTTAAATTCGGTAACCTAAAGGGCCAAGAATTTTTAAGTGGGAATAAGTGAAAATACTAATTTTTTTTATTTAGAAGCCAGGTGTTGGAGGAGTTTGGAGGTAAGTAAGCAATTAGAGTCTTAGTTTTGATGAGTTGGAGAGCCTGTGGTGTTTACTTTCTGATTATGAATTGAATTGAAGTTTATTTGAAAGAGAGTATGTATATTCCTTTATAAATGTCTCATTTTATAGTATTTATACACACCCATGGATGAAAATAATGTTTCTAATGTGCCAATGTTTTGAAGGACTCTTATAAAAGCTTACTTTTAGGAATTTAGTTCAGAAAATATATATTTTTTGCAGATGAATTTTTTGTGCTTTCTTTTATCAGAAAACAAAAAATTATATATCACATACTCCTTTATGCTTCATTTTTACCAGTAGAAAACAGAACCGAGTGACTTAATATCTTTAACCAAGATACAGTGGTTCATTCTTCTCTCATAAGATTGTCCCTGTTCAGTTCTTAAATGTCTCCTCAGGCACTGTTGATTTTTCTTAAATCAACCTTAAAAGCCTTTTAGATGCAGCAGAGTACAACTCTTAAATAAATGCATTGAATTTTGCTTCTGCTATTTGGCATGTCTGTATACATCTTAAGAAAAGATTCATTCTATATGATATTAAGTTTCATATAACTTTCATATTTAAGAAACAGTTCTACCTCACAGATTCTCAGGTGCCAATCAGGCATGAAGAGGAAAATATTCAAATGTACTTATTTGATAAGCATTTTAGTACTACTTCCTCAAGTACTCATAGCCTTCCTGTCACCAAAAAGATGGACCTATTCATCGAGTCAGCTTTATTAGCCATGCACCTTCTAATTACCTTCTCAGTGTCAGGTCATCTGTAGAATATGAGCCAGCCGCTAGAGGTCATGAAAAAGCCTAGGGGCTCTAAAGCACCCTCTCTGACTGACATAATACTCATTACATCCCAAAATATTGAATATCTACACATAGCAATTCATATAGTCATGTTAAAGGGATGAAGTCTAGAAAAACAGGCATCTGGACCTGCATAATGATTGGGCCACTGAAACTACATAATTGCCCACCCACTGACCTGTTCTTAATGGGACAACATGATCTTCAGTTTTAGAGAGCTAAATCTTCCAAATCTAAAAAAAAAAAAAAAAATAGACTTTCAAAAAATACTTTAGCTTTGGAATTAAATATTCTTGCCTTTCCTATACAGCCCTCTTTTGTTCTATCTAGTTCAAATTATTAACCGCATAAACCAATGCTCAACAAGTCTAGAGGGTCCTTATATAAGCTTCAGTACGTGGCCAGACATGACTGTACTGACACCCATAGTCTCAACATTCTTTAGCCAAACTAATTTACCTTTATGCTAATTGTACCTAAGTTTATGCTAGCTGCTGCTAGCTGCTAGCTCTCTAATGACCTTATCCTTGGTTCTGAAATTTTAGTGTGCATGCCATTGTCTGGGGCACTTGTTAAAAGAAGAGATATGTCCTTACCATATCCCTAGGTCTGATATCCATTGTCATCTACTTTTTTAAAAACTAATGTTTTGGGGGTTTTTTGAACCCACAATGAGGTATGCTACTCTAGACTCCAGGATCTATTATCAAAAGCAACATACTTTCTCAAGATACACTTGTCTCTCTCTTCGAGTAAAACTGATGGAATTTCTAAAAATTATACATTAAGCCATGTTGTACCCTGGACTTTTATAGAATGAGAATTTAAGAAATATATGTTTATAGTATCTTTTGGTATATTTTGTAAAATTCTACTTAAAAACAATCTCCTTTGTTTATTCAACATCCCTTATATTAGGAGCTGATGATCAGTTCCTCCTTGAAATGAATGCTAGGATAAGATTTGTCTTGTTTTAGAGGAAAAGTTGTCTTATTCGATAAAACAACCAATACATTTTTGTCTTAGTTGTCAGGATGTCCAAAACTAACTTGGTGTTCAATTATATAAATATATCCTAGCTGTCAGGCACATCCATTTTCTTGTTCTTTTTTTAAATGATTTATTGATTTGTTGATTAAGCCACCTCATATTCTTATTTTTTTTTAAGTATAAATGATGCATAAGTAAAATTTTAACTACTCCTGTTGTGGAAGATGATTATGTTTTAGCTTGTAACTACTAAAAATAAATTTCCCAAAAGTACTACCTTTATGGAGCATGTTTGTAACTAACTTTGTACTTTCTTATTTATGTTTAGCTTCGTCAAACAGAATTATTGAAAGGATATTCTCTGGGGCAGTAACAAGGTAAGAAAATTTTCTGAAAATAAAAAATGAACTACAAGTGCTCTGGCCACTGTGGTTCGGCCAGTGTGTTGTCCCATACACCAGAAGGTGACAGGTTCGATTCCTGGTCAGGGCTTGTAAGGAAGGCAACTGATTGATGTTTCTTTCTCACATCAGTGTTTCTCTCCTTTCTTCTCTCTCTCTCAAATCAATAAAAACATATCCTCCAATGAGGTGTTTTTCTTTTAATGAACTACAAGTAAAACTGTAACAAGACTTTCTGCAATATATACAGTCATGGCTTCATATAAGACAGTATTAATTTTTTAATATATGAGCATTAGGCCTTTATCTAAATGCAGGTAGCAGTATTGATCCTGGTGATTATTTTTTTAAGTTTAACTTAATTTCCAAAGGAAGATATTACTTATTTCTTTATCTATCATCCTACTAAATTTATTTAATTACTCAGGAAACTTAAAACCTTGTGTTTTGTTTTCCTTTCCCAGGGGAAAAACAGTACAGAAAGAGGGAAGAATGAGCTATGCAGATTTTGTTTGGTTCTTGATATCGGAGGAAGATAAAAGGAACCCCACCAGGTATGACTTCTAAGTTTCCTTTGTCAAGATGTTAAACACAGGAACAAAGTTTGAAAAAGTCATGATGTATACCTAGTCATTGCCAACTCAGCCTCAGGGTGCCAAGTTGGATTAGACTTGGTCTCTCCTCTCAGACTGAATCCAGAGTTTCACAGCGTATCAAGAAAAGTGTTGTTATCCCCAGAAACAAAGGTGAAGTGGCATGTGAGCTATCCTGAGGGATGAGTAGGACTAGCAAGCACTTATGTGGAATGTGGGAATAGGTACTGTGAATTTCTGTTGTTTTATGATCTTTATGGGTTCAGTAGTGAATTGGAGAGGGAAAGAAGAGCAAATTGTGAATAAAGTCAGTATCACCTTGATACCAAAACTAGACAAACACAAGAAAATAAAACTACAGATTAGCATCTCTTATGAAGATAGACCCAAAAAACTAGCAAGTCCAAGTTCAACTTCTCATCTTCTCAGACCCCAGAATCAGCAGATGCCCCCAGGGAAAGATGATCTCAAATGCTAGGCTCTTTCTCTCTGAATTTCCTTCTAGATCTGGATGCTGTAATTTTTCCCTTTCTTATTAACAAATTTTTCCTCTATATTCTCTTAATAGAGAGGATTAAGCAAAATATTCAGTTTGTCATTACCAGAAGCAGATCAACTTTTCAGACCTTGAGATCCATCACTGGATCTCTACTTAGAAAATTTTGTCAAAAGAGGTTATTAGAACCAAAGATTTCTTTGTGCCCCTTTTCTCCTTTTCATGTTGCCTTTCTCCTGCCTAACAACTAACATATTGTTGAGGTTTTACTTTTTGTCCAGTAACAAATATTTCATTTGCAGTAGCTTATTTAATCTTCATGTCACTGAGTTTAGGTATCAGTTGTTCCATTTTATAGTTGAAGAAACAGAATTCTGAGAGATTGCACACCTAATAAGTGACCTAGCTTGGATTCAAATCCAGGTCTGTGTGACTTCAAATCCTGGGCTCTTTATCACTATAATGTATAGCTCATCATACGAGACAGCATGTTTACATGCCTATCTTCTCAAATAGGCTGTGGAATCTCTAAAAGAGAGTTCTTTTGGTGTTCTGAAATTCCTTATTGCTTAAGAGACTCAAAATGTGGCCAATCATAGAAGAAAGTTACTTCTGATTTTGACTTGTTGATCTTTGTTTCCTTGGTGCCTACTGGTACTTACTAGCCACCCAGTGTATTTATTCTCAGTGCTTTACTTCACATTGCTTTCCTAAAGCAGAATATGAGCAGAAGACCATTAAACTTCACTTGTAGCATAATGAAGAAAATAGCTCTACATCAAAATCAAAGTTTTATTTTACAAAATGTAGTAGGCAACACTTAAGAAATCAGGTTTGTGCCTTATGAAAGACATGGTGGAAAAAACGAGTTTCATGAAAGAAATAATATGTGTCTTTCTCACATTGACGTTTCTCTCTCTCTGTCTCTCCCCCTCCCTTCCACTCTCTATCAATGGAAAAATATCCTCGGGTAAGGAGTAACAAAACAAACAAGTTTAAAAAACCATTAAATGTATGAAGGCTCTTAATATATCTTAAGGCTTACAACTGGGAATTTAATCAAGGGTCTGCAAGAATCTTCTCTTGGAAAGTTTTACTTTGCCATAATCAGTAGTTCCTTATAGAAAACCTAGAGGCCTGTTGCATGAAAAGATTCGTGCAATAGGCCTTCCCTTCCCCTGGCTGCCAGCACCGGTTTTCCTCCGGCACCTGGGACCCAGGCCTTCGCTCCAGCTGGAGCCGCCTTTAAGCCTTCGCTGCTCAGGCCAGAGCCGCCTTCAGTCTTCGCTCTGCCACTTCTTGCCTGTGTATGCAAATTAACCACCATCTTTGTTGGTGGTTAATTTGCATATCTCACTGATTAGCCGATGGGAGGTGTAGCGAAGGTACGGTCAATTACCATGTTTGTCTGTTATTAGATAAAATATTGTTCCTTGTTACCAATTAATGCTATTGGCTTCATATTCTGTGATTAATTGATGACATGGCTATACTTGCTATCCTAAGTGACAGTGCTAAATGATAACGTAGCCATAATAGAGTGTGAATAAACTTCTGGTGAAGATAGCAACTTAACCACATGTAGTACTTTTGGCCTCTTTTGAAATTTCACTTTAATGACAGTAAAGAGAATTTTCTTCAAGGAATATATCCATAATAACAAAGGAGAAGAGATAACAACGATAAACATTTGCACCCTAGGCAGTTTGGCTCAATGGCTAGAGTGTCGGCCTATGGACGAAAGGGTCCTGGATTCGATTCCATTCGAGGTGCGTACCTTGGTTGCAGGCTTGTCCCTGGCCTGGGCCCTGGTCGGGGTGTGTGCAGGAGGCAACCAGTAGATGTGTTTCTCTCTGTCTTTCCCTCTCTCTTCCACCCTCCTTAAAAATCAATGGAAAAATATCTTCAGGTGAACATTAACAGCAACAACAAAAAGATTTGCAAACTGGAAAGTAAATACACTTAGCAGATTCTGAATCCTAAGCCACCAGAATTAAAGACCAAGAAGTAACTAGATATACCCAGCAAAAACCTCCAAACAGTCAGAACTTGGGGGTATCAAAAACATTGGAAGTGGGGGCAAGGTAAAGATAGAGCCAAAAATCAGAGAGTTTATAGAAAGTTGTTTAAAGAAACAGTTGATCTCTAGAACATCTCCTCTACTGAGGCAGAAGACTGTGTGCGTTATTCCTGGAGAGTGTAAAATAAGAGGGCCTCTGGACTGGGGAGCACTAGGTACAATTAAAGGTATCGGTCCACATTGAAAACACATGAGATGAATATGTGCGTAGTGATTGCTGAGATGCCCAGTCTTCATTCTTCATTCAACTTACAGAATCCTAAATCTGGCAGAAGACTAAAAGATGTTTTTCTGCAACATCTTTGACTAGCCCAAGAATAAAAAACAGAAGATATGACATCAGGTCATCCCCAAGGAAACAATCCAGCCAGATCACTGTACAGTAAAGCTCAGAGTCCACAAACCCATAGGTTAGAACTTCCATTCAGCTTTTTAGCATTTACTCTTAAATATTAGCAGTGAACAAAGGATCACTAAATACCTAAGTAAAGCCTCTTACATAAAAGATAGAAACCAAACTAATAGAAGGTGAGGAAAATAACTTAGCTGAAGCAGAATTCAGGGAGAAGAAATCCTCAGCAACAACAATAATGATGACAACTGTTACTATTTTTTAGTATGTTTTTATTGCTTTTTAGAGAGGAAGGTAGAGGGATAGAGAGAGAAACATCGATGAGAGAGAAACATCATCAATAGGCTACCCCCTGCACATCCCCTACTAGGGATCGAGCCCACAGCTGGGGCATATGACCACCAGGAATCAAACTGGCACCCTCTTTGATCTTGGCTCGACGCTTAACCACTTAGCCACACCTGCCAGGCAAGACAACTGTTTTGATATCCTCAGGGAGATAAGAGAAATTACATTCACAGAACATTAACAGAATGATACTTCTTATAAAAAGAACATTTAGGTAGCCAAAAAAGAACTCTGGAAAATCAAAATTATGATAGCAGAAAGGGGGGTGGGGGGCGGTTCAGAAGATGAAGTTAAGGAAACCTTTCAGAAAGAAAAAGAAAAAAGAAGCAATAGAAAATAGAGGCAAGATATGAAAATTAGAGAAGCAGTCCAAAAAACAACGTAACTGGAAATTGAAATGTGATATGTGTAATTTTAAAATTTAGCCATAAGAGGCATATCAGCAAGGTAGACAATGTACAAGTTTCCATTGCTCATATCTTCCCAGAAGCTTCAATTTTAACTATCGATGCACAAAAATACCTTCACAAGATATAAGGATTCCAGATGAGAGGCCGCAGCATCCAGATGGAGCACAGAAATAAGAAAAAATGCATTGAAGAAGGTAGAAAGGAAAATCATCCCCTAAGCCCAGGCTGCTCAGCATGTAGAAAGACACTCTTCCCCTGAGGGAAGGATACCACAAATATGCAGAGGATCACAAGATTACTATGAACATATGTCAGCAAATTGGATATATGTTCATAGTAGAATGAATGAATGAATTCATAGAAACATACAACCTACCAAGACTGAGCATGAAGAAATAGAAAATCTGAATAGACCAGTAACGAGTAAGGGAATAGATCCCAAAAAAGAAAAGCCTGATGACTTCCCAGGAGAATTCTACCAGTTAAAGAGTTCCAATCCTTCTCAAACTTTTCAAAAAATTTTTAAAAGGTGGAACTATTCCAAACATTTTATGAAGCCAGCATTACCTTTATACCAAAGCCAGACAAGAACACTACAAGAGAACTGCAGGCCAAAATTCCTGGTGAACATACATGCAGAAATCCTCAACAAAATGCTAGCAAACTGAATTCAACAGCACATTAAAGTG